CGGGTAGAGAACATTCCTTTAAGGTTTCAGCTCTCTAGCTTTTCTCGTTCCCGGGTTAGCAGTTTTCCCGCCAAAACTTTCACGTGCTCGTACGCGGGGCCCAGACATGCGTAAGGGTTGATACAGTGGTCCTGGGGTGGCACTTGGCTGGGGAAAACATCAGCAAAATTTCAGCTTCAAAGCTTGCGTGGCTGGCGTGTTGAAATACCTGGACAGACGAACACACACACACAGTGACAGGGTCGTTGCAATATGCGTCTTTGCTGCCTGTTGCAGCGCTCTAGCGCTGCACGGCAAAAACGCACAAAAAACGGCAGCCGTCTCGTGGGAGAAATTTGTGTCCATCATTATGTGCTTTTTACTACACAAATGAAAACAGAACATTGAATATCCAAAATGTGCTAGCGTAAGCCATTTATTCTGAGTGTAAGAGGCTTCCACATCTACTTCAGTTAGAGCATGAAATCAGTGATTTTTCATGCGTTTTTGCTGTGTGGCGCTATAACGCTGCTAAAGTCAAAATAAACATTGTCAAGAGGCTGTTGGTGTGCGTGTTTGTGCGTGAGCTCGGGTTTTTTTTCACCCAATTTCAACTCATCAAACAGAGAACCCGGAAAGCCGGAATTTTTGGAACATGCTCTCACTCCATATAAAACCCCGATTTTAAAAATCTTTGTTCAGATAGGCCTGGATCTCACGTACAGACGCCTAAAAGAAAACGTGTAAATTTTCTTGCAGGAAAATGATTTCGAACAAGATAGGTAGGAAAATGAAACTTCACGAAGATTTTTTTTTGCCCTTGTGTGAGTTAAAGATTTAAGTTCAGCTTAAACACAGGTTTACTTTACGTCTATAAATACGTCAAATTTAAGACTGAAGCATAGCTGGCAAAATGCCAGCTGGAAGACTATGCTGTGCATTTGATTTTAATAGGAAAACTAATTTTACGTTTACTGGTCAGCATTTGCTGTCAAAATGCTGGCCAGTAAACGTAAAATTAGTTTTCATATACGTCCGCTTCATGCGTACGGGCACGAAAAATACGTTTGCAGCGAAACAACGTACAGCACAAGGCAAGTTGTGAAATTCAAATTTTAGAGGATATTTGTTAAGCACGTACAATTCAATTCTTCAAATTCAGCTTTATGGCTTGTGTAGATTTCGCATTAAGCGCAAGTAAAATTTCAGTTTTAGACGATCTTGACACCCCCGATTTAATTCTGCAACCAGAGCGACAGAAACCCGCTGTTTTTTTGGGAGGGTGTATCTTGAACACGGTCAGCTTACTAGCGTTAACTTGCAAAAAGGCATACTGCGGTTGAATCCACCTTAGCATCGATTTCATAGCTTTGGCGCAACGTGATGCTTCGTGTCAGTGAGCGGTAATCAAATGATATAAAGTGACCATTTAAATGGTCTTCGTTGAGGTGATGAGCGTTTTGTGATGGATACCGGTCAACCTGAGGAAGGAAAATCTGCTGTAGTTGCACTCAGTGTGGAGCTGTCTGCACTTCAGTACCGTCGACAATATTGAACACAACCCAGTTGTTTGATCCGCTTCAAATTATCGGACAAAATACAGCCTTATAAACCTTTGCGCAGTGTTGCCAAAAAAGTAAACGAGCTCGGCGTCGTACGGCAAATCATTGGTGACGCACACTGGCGGGCCCATGCGATCATGCGTTTTTGCAGTATTTCGTGCTCTAGCAAGATCGCTTGGAGTCCCTGTAGCAAGAACTTATGGTATACTAGTCCTCGAAGTTTAGGAACTACATGGTATTTGGTCAGGGAACACCCCGCTCAAAAATTCGGTTTTCCTCTCTTTTCCGGTCCTCGAGTTAGCAATTTTCTTGCCAAAAATTTTCACGGGGTCGTACGTGCATTGGCGGATTCAGGG